TTTTAACTTGCACTGTCAGCTTTAAGTAAGAAGACAATTATCTAAATATGCATATAAACGAATATATAAAGGGAGGTTTGTACAGGACGTCTGTTCAAAAAGCCTAAAATGCAGACGTGAAAAGATGGGTCTATGTATCCTTCTTGATTTTGGGCAGGGTTTTTGACAGGGTTTCTGAAATATTAATTTTTCAGGCCTATGACAATTTTTTTTAATGTAGGTCAAAACTTGAAAACTAGGTCACAGTAACACAATTTGTTTAAACAACAGTTTGATGTTAATTTCTAAACCTAATGACATTTTTTACGATGTAAGTTAATTTTTCAAATCAGGTAATAGTGACCCATACTGGTTTAATTTCTGAACTGTTTAGTGAAAGTCAAATTTGAGAATCAATACATCAATTGTTCGTATGGTTCATTGTTGAATGGGGTCTTTTTTCAATATGTAAAATATGTAAAACTGACTCCGTTTCATTTTCGATAGGGGTCCATTTTTAACGATTTTCACAAAACAAGCTCTATCAGAAATTCAGATATTTTTCTATCTGGATGAGCTATTGGAAAAGTATAATTAAATGTCAGAAACTCATAAACTCTATATGGCTACGGGAAATGACTGACCGATATAAAATTACACATTATTAGGGTAAGCACCTGGTGTCCGGGATTACATTGGTATATTTCGCATAGATAAAATAAAGCTTAGGGGCGATACATAAGTAACAAACATACGTTCAATTTGAGTTTAATTTGACCAACATATAGGAAAGGTTGTAAGGGAAGATAGATATACGATAATGGTAAACCATAGCCTGTATGTGTACATGTTTTATGCATGACGATCACTATGAATAAGAGGCGCAAGTTAGGCTAAATCAGAACGGAACAGATAGCGGCACCGAGCGGTAGAAAGCGGTACAGAAGGGCTAATGGAGAATGACTAGGGACGGCTCCCGGACAAACTGAGATCGAGTGAAATCCCTTGTACCCGAGTTGAAATACACTTGAACTCTATCACCATTCGTCGTTTAACTTTTATGTTACACATTACACCGGACACACAGATAGCCAAGGGTAATCATTGTGTCCTATAACGGTAGATCAATACTTTCATATAAGTACAGAAAGAAGTGAAGGCGAGGAGCTTTCATGTATTTGTGTACTATGGAAAAAGTGTACCACGGTACAGAATGAAATGGTAAAGAGATAAGTTTGAGAAGATAAACTTAAGTGTACATACGTATTGTTTATCCGATCATTCTTGTTTATCTGATCATTCTCGTTCGCCAAAAAGAAACTATTATGCAAGGAAGACAAATGAAAACACGGGCGATAGTGCTAGTTCTGTGCAATGATAGCAAGAGGGTTGTTTGTCAATTCAAAGCAACTAGTGCATTATGAACAAGTAACAACTTCGTATAATACTGTACAAGCATCTAGTTCGTGTGAAGAACACGTGTCTTGCACCTTCAGAAGAAACATATCAGATGTGTTTTTCTTGGAGATTAAAAGATGCCAACTTCGGTTTGTGCAAACGGTGACAAAAAATCAAATGTTTGAATTGCAAAAGGAACTTAAAGTGTCAAATCTAGTTCAGATTGAACCAAAAAGTACAGTTTGTTAATTCTGTTTAAGTCATATTAAGAAAAATGCTTTGTCACAAAGTAACACCATTTGAAATAATCTTCACCCACGCAAGATACCTTTTCATTTACATGGTAAAACTTTGAAGAGAACAGCCATTTATTGCAAAATTTAAGTATTAATGACAGTTATCATACCGCAAGGTGGACAATTTGCTCAAACAAGATTGGCTTAAGTCTTTCCAATAGATGTTGATAAAACGGTTCTTTGTCTTCCTCATACTTTTCCAAATGCTGATAAGATAACTGTATCCTATGGATATGCTAAAGACATCAAACCAACTCACATTATAAGAAAGGGTGAGATTCTGAAAGTCCTTTTTAGTTTAAAAGCTAATAACATTTTGTACAAAGAGACTTTTAGTCATGTTTTTTCCAAACAAGTTAGTATTTCACAAGAAACTGTAGATGAAACTGGAGGTGCTTAGGTATGATGAGGATGCATGGCATATCCTCGTTTGATTATACTGTGTCCAATATTGACTTGGGAAGTGTAATACCCCACATTAAGCTTTAAAAATATGTTACCCTGTTCCTGTGCGAAATATGGTGGTGAAGAATCTGCACTCCCACATATTTCCATTTGGTTAAATGGCTATAGGCAAGAAAGAAGGGCCTCGATTTAAATTGTAAAGGTTTTCAAAATCGATTATATAACAAAGATGAACGTTTTTCGTAAAGATATTTCATTCTTACTTAATGCTGTTAATTTCTAATGAAATGTGTCGACTGCTTAATTCTGTTGAAATACACATGCGTAGGCGTAGAAGTCGACTACTCTCAAGTCTTACTACTGTAGACGTTCTTGATTGAAGAAGCAATCAAGATTTAATACAAAATTCATTTTTGATCATGAAAAATATGAAAGGAACAGCTGGATATTGAAAATTGCTAATGTCATATTGGCCAGACAAATGTGACAAAAGTTTTGAATTTATTAAAAATCTTAATCAGTATTGACAGCTATTAATTTCAAGAGACGATTAAAAGAATCGTTAAAGGCATGAAGTTTAAAAGTCGTGGAAGTCTCCATATACATTTGTTCTTCGGACTATTTTTTTTCTGAAATATTCAAAAATCAAAGTACGCTGATAAATTATTTTTTAGCAACACATCAACCATCCATCCAATATGGTGACGATCATCCATGACAGCATGGAGGCGCCGTTGAACGTGATACTCGTGAATTTATATTAATATTTTGTATGTTTCAGGTGCACACGGAGTTGCCAAACAGGAGACGGCAGTCGGGAGCTCACATTTCTCACAGCGACTAAATAAATAAGACGTCATGTTACTGTGATATCATTGTTTGTTGACAGTGTGCAAGTATTTCGTTACAGCAAACTGAAAATATGGATTCGCTTCATGCAAAACTATTCTATTCTCATTAAACGAGTTTAACTTGTAAATTGATTTTCAGTGTGCCATAACGAAATGCTTGTCCATTGTGTTTCTTCCTATATTGATGAACAAGTGAGGACGGAAAAAAGTGACGAAACGTACATGCAGGGAAAACGACTAGACGAAAATGGTAATAACATCATTCTGGCATTTGTTTATTGGAGCCAGTGTCACAGTTCCTACACAATATATAGTACCGACTTGTAACCACTGTTGTACTGACGTCGGTACCTGACATTAGACCACCGATGTAATGACGTCGGCTTAACGTTACATTGCTGCACCAGATGCGGTAACCGACATTAGACCACCGACGTACGTACTGACGTACGCCCAACGTTATTTTACATACGTTAACAGAACGTTTTGCAAACATCATAATTGAGTGTTTGGCCAGCGTTGGCCAAACGTTACCCGTCGTTTAACCAACGCTTAGCTCCGACGTCGAGCCAACTTCACTACGCGTACGTTGGACAAACGTATGTCGGGCCAACGTTGGTTGTCGTTGTCGGGCCAACGTTTGGTGTCACGTTGGCCAAACCTTTGACCAACATCTGACTGCTAAATGGGGAAAGCACAACAATATTAATGTCAACTCATGATGTAGGTCGATACATGCTGATATCACATGAAAAAGGGTAGATATGGTCCGGAGCAGGGGCGTTTCTAGGATATTTGAAAGAGGGGCGTAGAATAAAATCTTTCGCCGTGCGGAGCGATGCGAAAAATTTTGTGGACCTTTTTTTTTGCTAAAAAACATAAAATAATTGTGAAATGCACTAATGTAACGGTTCCTGACTTGGAGCATGTATATTTTATAGTTAAAGTGTCAGGGCTTGACATTTTTATGCCGAATTCTCTCCATTAATTGTCTATGGTATATTAAAATGATTGGATGGATCTTAACAGCAGTAGACCAATAACGAGAAATTCCAAATTCGGAAGTTTAGGGATCACCCATCGGATGGGGGAATCAGTATAAAAAGAAATCAGAGTATGTGTTTAATTAATGAATATGATAAATTGCCATATTCAATACAATATTAGCAGATTACGATAGGGTTTTTTTCGAAAAGGGGAAGGGGGCGCGTACGCGTACGCCCATTACGTATACGCCCTCACCTGGACCCGCCCCTGGTCCAGAGTCTCGCTGATGCCGTAAGAGCAATGTACAGGGCTTCCTAGCGAAAGTTGGCTATACAACAACTCCAAACGATAACATAAATAGAAGTCGTCCAGTTATACCTTTGGTTGAGTAGAATAGACAAAAGAACATACTGATTATTATACCATAAAACGTATTACTAATGTAAAGTACATGTACAGTGTACGTGTTATTGAACAATTAAAAAGTTGTAAAAGATGATAAAAGACGAAGTTAAAAGTTAATCTTAGGTTAGGAAATAAAATCCTTGAGCCTGGAAGGGTACCCTTGTACAATGTACGTACATGTACATGTAGTACACTAAAAAGAATGGGCTGTTTAATTTAGTGATGTATGTACAATGTATACAAATATTTAGACTGAATTTACTTTCAGTATGATATTTTCAAATCATGAATCATTTTGCAAATGGAAACACTTGTAGCTTACACTTTATCATGTGATTAAATCAATTCGATTTGTTAACCAAGTATCTCAAATGAAAATAAAAGTATGGGGTCCCTGAAAGCGCTCCCGAAATTATTCATAAGAAGTAGGTAATTTATACGTACATTGTACAGTACATAATGTACATGTATACAGATAATTCGCAGTGAATGCGTCGTCAATAGTGCATATATTTTCATAATTTGTACTGTTGTGTCACAGTGTAAATAGGTACAATGTATGATGCATCACCGTTATACACGTACATCATTCGTAGTCTCATGCCAGTCAACACATGTAATTCGAAACTACATGTATAATATATTTGCTGGCTTTAGTTGAGGTGATGAATCTATTTATAGAAGGGAATCCCAACTTGAACTTGGTGATGGTATGGAAGCTACGCACATAGTTTTTATACGTTTCAATTCGAATTTCGGTGTGGTTTAAGATGGGTTTTGTAAAAGCATGTACCACCGTGCACAGGGACACGTTCACACCACATTTAAGACGATGTGTCAGGTTGTGAGAGGAGGGCGAATCTAGTCTGTGCGTCTTTGTCCAGCTGTCTTGTTGTTGACATTCTCGCCATGGCGTTTTTTTGCAAGCAACAACGCACGTGCTACCGATGTGTGAACCTTATGTATCGGCTTCGACCCACCACGCCCCTTACACGTGGAATGATGGATGAGACCTACTTCAAGTCCAAGGAGTATCGGGAAAGGACGTCCTCCGTCACATCTTTCTACGACCAAAGTGCCATTGACCAGGTGGCAGCGAAGGTATCAAAAATGTTATTTTAATCATCACTGCGAGATTGATTTTAAATTCACATTACGATGTGACTGGCGAACAACGTTACAAATCCTCTATAAACATTACAGAATATCTAGTGTGTGGAGNCGAGATAAGCCAATGACTTCTTATGATATATGATCAATTGTCGATAAACTTCCGCTGGACGCGACTTCCTTCCGGGGATCATATATGTTCCCCTTGGTATTATAGCGGTTCCTAGACTTATTTAGTAACGCTTAGGTTAGAGTCACAGTTTTCTGTATCTACAATACAGTTGTTAAAAAGTACACACACATCGGAAGCGAGTCAGAAACTAGTAATGTCATTGACTGCTCGCGAGCCGATGTCTATAAAAACGAAGGCTCAAATTTCCATGGATGATTTTTCCAATGCTTGTTTAACCTGTCCTTAAAACAGTTAACACTAGGAGCCGAGGTCACATGTATGCTCTGGTAGAAAATTCCATGGTTGTGCTTTCCCGTACCTAAATTTTGTAGCTGTTAGTTGTTGTGCTATGTAGGTGTGACAGATCTAGCAATCAGGGATGGTATACATGGTTCAGAACAATCCTTTGCTATGCAGGTTGTCTTTATTTTTTCACATTTTCTGATTGGATCATATATACATTTGTACCTCGATGTCGGTTTATACTGATCATAATACACTAACAGACCAAAAAGCTATTGGTACTCTGTTCATGCATGCTGGACAGTTTGTCTGATTTACAGGTTGTTTTTCTAAGTAAAACAAAATATTGAGAGAACTCCCCTTCCCTGGCCCCTTCCCTGGCCCCTGAAGTTAGTATGTGTGTTTTTAATGCAAATTTGACCTATAACAGTCTAAGCTTGTCAAAGTAGTGTCACCATAAAATGAAAAGGGGCGTGACAGTTATATATAAATGCATATATGAATACAAGACATGTATAATTAACTTGACTCTTACAGTTTATCCTGTATGGACATATTATTGTTCATGACAGGTTAATTATAAGTTGATATTAGTTAATTAATAGTAGTCTACTACTATACAACATGCACATACATTACACATGTGACTACTGTACATTTATAGCAATATAGAAACAGTTTACCTGCTTACGGCTGATATTTACATATTTGTTCATTAATTACTTATTTATAACAAAAACTATATAAACAAGAGTACCACAGGGAGGGAAAAGTATATGCCCGCCCCATATCAAATTTGCATACTTCAATTCCTTCAGATGCATTCTTATATATATTAAAATATACAAAAAAATTAATGTAAAACTAAGAATCTGTATTTGTACTGTATTACTAGTATTTTTTCTGGTGAAATGAGAAAACATATTTATTGTATTGTATATTGTACTTATAATTACCACCTAAGCTGATGGAACATACCTGTATATAATATACATATAATAATGATTTAATATGTGTCATATTTGTCATACACCTTTTCTTTATTTAAAACATACAAGATCTATATTGTAAAAACTAAGAAATTTGAGGTAACAACCGAACTGCCTTACTGGCAATCTAGCTAGCTTTCCCAGCGATGGAGTAAAACCCGGAAACCACTCACTAGTTCACCAGAATGTCAAGCGTGGTCAGTAGCTCGAAGCTGGCCTTGGATGGGTGACCGTCTGCATTTGCCGGCAGCCTACTGACCTTGTGGTAACATGTAAGGCCAGTTCCTGGTGGATAGGAAAGGTACCTTAATGGCAGACAGGGAGAACTCACAGGATTCCCCAGGCCAAGTCTCGGGACGAGGCTTCTTGGAGGTGGACAGTAGTGTGACAACTCAGGAGTTTGAGGGAACCATACTGCCTTACTGGCAATTCAAGCTAGAAAGCAATTGAGAGATATGGTATAACCCGGGGACCCGCTCACTAGTTCAGCAATATTGAGCGTGGTCAGTAGTTGGATGGGTGACCGCCCTCATGTTACACTATCAATCTTTTTTTTTTTAAGAACATTATTACATGTGTGACATTCTGAGCAAATTTTCAGCTTTAAATAAACATTTCTCTTATTCTGTGAATATTCCATCATCATATTATAGTATTTATATAACACCACTGTAACCAGTATACTTAATTAACAATGCCCTTGTGATTTCTTCCCCAGCCCTCTGTCCGATTAACGCCTTCAAGTCTGCTCTACGGCGGTCACAGCCATGACAAAAGTCATTTGTTGGTAAGTTGTAGGATTGTACCCTTAAAATATATATACAGTACTGACAGTACTTTAATAGGATTTTAATAGGATTTAATAGGATAGATGTGGATGCAGGCAATTACTGTGTCTATGTCCATATCATATAATATAACAATTACTTGGGTCAGGGTCTGATCAAAGTCACCAAATGTGTAAGTTCATGAAGAGTACCATCAAGTTGAAATATAAATTAGATTATTACCATTGTCACGGTCATGAATTATTTGTTTGCATGCATAATTAAATCATGTCTTGATATCATAGATATATATATAGGTTACAATTTTTACAGAATTATAGTTGTTCATCATTTGTGTAATTGAAAATAAAAATGAAATAAAATTAGAAAAAGTAAAGGGATCAAATGAAGGACCCCATTAATCCCACACTTTACTTATGTTGCTATCCAAGGATCCTGCTGAATTCCTTGACAAGGGAAGTAACTCACAGCCCAAAAAGTCTCATTTTTTCAGTATCTTCTATATCTAAGAGAACATGTCCAAAGTTAAAAAAAAAACAGGTCTGAAATAATCTTTATCATGATTTTGATTGATGTTCTGATAATAATTGAGAGTACTCAATACTGCCACCATTGTTTTAATCAGCAAGGTTGTAAATGACGTAGGGCCTTGCAAGTGCATCAAGATTTTACTGAATGTTTTTAGCTATATCTTTAATTGTGTTGTATTGCCTATTGTTTGTAGAGAAGTGCCCAGTACCTGTACAAGGAGTTACCTGTGAGGCTAGCACATAGGATAGAGGGATTCAGGAACCTCCCCTTCATTGTCGGATGTAACTCAACAATTTTGAAAGTGGTGAGCAAACACAAAATATTGTTACTTATACAATTACTTCCTTAGATGTCTAGTATGTTTAACATTGTTACATCTGTGATTACATGAGATTTAATCCCCTGCAGGTTCAGGGGGGGGGGGGGGGGGGGGAGTCTGCTGTATTCCAATGCATGTGGTAAAAGGCAGCTAATGTATGGCCCTTTGCAGAATCGGGGGTTTCCTTCTGTGACTTCTACTAAGGGGACATAGAAGATATAACAATTGATCTGCTGCCCACATTGCAACATTAAGGATCTTTATTTTTTCTCTCTTTTTGTTTCCTAGTGCCTTGCTTGGTAATTATAGCGCCCTTGCCCAAGTGGGTAGGCAATGGGTTATGTCCCCTGGCCGGGACATACCAAAGTCCTAAAAAAGAGTAGTTGTCATTTATTGCTGTCAAAAAAATATTAGATGTTATTCCCTGCATAGCGTTCAGCATGAAGGGGTATTTCAACAACTGGTTGACCTGGTGTAGATACATAACGTGAATACTGTACTGGATACCTTCGGCGTAGTATTTCAGTGAGGTAGCACTCTAATAAGTCCGTATCAGATCTGCACTATCTCAAGGAGGCAGATACATCACATATACCCTGCCTCCAGCAGACATACACACAAGCACACATACATGACACGCAAGGAGACATGACCTTAAATGACCTTAGCTGTTAATAGGATGTTAAAACATATTAAAGCCAAACCAAATGAAGCACAATATCCAGTGTATTTGTCCGAATTTGTACTTTGGAATTCATTACATGTAAGTAATATGCCGTTTTAATTTTCATGATTTTATGTGAAAAATTGCTCCATTTTCTTACTAATTTCTGATTACATTATCATAAACAAATTTGTAATTTATGGCTAAGGTTCAATGCTATTAAAGCTATTATTTTTAATGGTGTGTTTTAATATTGTGATATCTTAATTTGTAGTAAAATGTCATTCTTTATTCTTTATTAGCATGAGATGTACATACTGGCATTCCATACTCTGTACGGCCATGGGAAGGTGAGTGTTGATTAAGTCATCTTATAACACTATTCTTAAGGTAAACCTACATTGTCTACAGTAAAAACTGTTCAAGTAATAAAGGACTCGTGGCAGACTCTTCTAACTCTGCTTTTGCCTTTATTAATGTAAATTTTAAAACAAAATGTAAAAATAAAACCTGCTAATAGAAATAAAACCTGTTGATGTCTTTTATTGATGTGTATCTCAAAGTCCTACTCCATTTTATTTTGGACAGGTTATGGACATGGAGTCTGAAAAGGTATACTCAGAAACACTGGCGACACTGCTGGATCAACACAAAGATGTCATCACACTGCTGGCTCAGGGCTTTTCAGAGAGCAGGAAACACATTAAGGTAAGTGGTAGGCAGCTATACACATCAGTGTGTACACACGGTGCATATGTGTAGAGGTCATAAAGTACATATCAGGTGCAGAGAGGTCAACACATTCTTTTAGAGGTCAGTGGGGACAAATGGATACACAGAGGTCAGTGGGTACTTATAGGGGTATGGTACATATAACATGTAGGTGAATAGAGGTCATTGAGTAGCTTTAGAGGTTGGTGTGTAAAAGTGAGACAGAGAGGTGAATGTTTGGAGCACAAATAAGTCAGTTATAACCTGCTAGCTATGATAGTAGTGTACACACAATATATGTGTTAATGATTACTCACAGAGGGCAGTTGTAGATGGCATTGGGCACTTGCAGTGGTCATTTGGTGCTTGTGGAGGTCATTGGGTACGTTTGAAGGACATTGGATACTTGTGAATGTCATTGGAAACTTGTGAAGGTCATTGGATACTTGTGGATGTCATTGGATACTTGTAACGGTCATTGAATGCTTGTGGAGGTCATTGGGTACTTGCGGTGGTCATTGGATGCTTGTCAATGTCAGTGGATACTTGTGAAGGTCATTGGATACTTGTGAAGGTCATTGAATACTTGTAAAGGTCATTGGGTGCTTGAAGAGATGATTGGATGCTTCTGGAGGTCATTGGGTACTTGTGAACGTCATTGGATACCTGCGGTGGTCATTTGATGCTTGTGGTGTCATTGGAAGCTTGTGGATGTCATTGGATACTTGTGAAGGTCATTGGGTACTTGTGAAGGTCATTGGATACCTGCGGTGGTCATTGGATACTTGTGGTGGTCATTGGAAGCTTGTGGATGTCATTGGATGCTTGTCGAGGTCATTGGATACTTATGAAGGTCATTCGATACTTGTGGATGTCATTGGATACTTGTCAAGGTCATTGGGTACTTATGAAGGTCATTGGATACTTGTGGATGTCATTGGATGCTTGTGGTGGTCATTGGAAGCCTGTTGATGTCATTGGATACTTGTGAAGGTCATTGAGTACTTGTGAAGGTCATTGGATACTTATGTGGATGTCATTGGATACTTGTGAAGGTCATTGAGTACTTGTGAAGGTCATTGGATACCTGCAGTGGTCATTGGATGCCTGTGGTGGTCATTGGAAGCTTGTGGATGTCATTGGATGCTTGTCGGATTATTGGATACTTATGAAGGTCATTGGATACTTGTGGATGTTATTGGATACTTGTGAAGGTCATTGGATATTTGTGGTGGTCATTGGATGCTTGTGGAGGTCATTGGGTACTTGTGAAGGTCATTGGATACTTGCGGTGGTTATTGGATGCTTGTTGAGGTCATTGGGTACTTGTAAATATGAGTTGTTATATACATGTACCTGTAGCGGTCATAGTGTACAGGGCTATTGTGTTTTCCAGGTGTACATAATGATTGATGTTCTATTGACATTTAAAAAAAAAAAAAAACAAGTTACATTATTCTCTTGTGAAATCAGCTGGGATATCCAAGGTTTTGTAGGTTAGAATACTACTATTAAAATGTTGAATTCCTATGATTTCTTAGGTTGGATTAACTTAAGTGTAATCAGAACAGGATAGCTCATTGCTCAATTTTCCTACATGAAACTAAGCTAACCCAACCTTACCCAAGCTCCAGCTGGAATTAATTTAAATATGCTTAAACTTTTATTCCAGCTCTACTGCCAATCCTATCTCTCAATCTTCATAACCTTTTTATACGAAAAAATCTAGGTTCTTCTTCCCAGTATAAAGAAATATATTAATGCTTAAGTAGATTTGTATGACAGTAATTTTGGTTCTTTGTATACCAGAACATGTATTTAACTTTCAGGATGAGCAGCTAATACAAGCCTTCCTAGACAGAACACTGAAGTCACGGCTAGGGATACGTGTGCTGGCACAGCATCACCTTGCCATGCATAATGAACAGGTAAGTTAAGGCCACAGACAGAAGTATGGTTAGGGCTAACCTCTCAAGGTCATACAGGCTCATCAGGGATGAGGTAAACAGACAAAAGGATAGCCAGGGCTAATTTCTCAAGGTCAGGTTAGTCAAGGACAAGGCCACAGGCTGCAGTATTGTAAGGGTTGATTTCTTAGTATTGTCAAGGTTGACTTATCAAATTTTGAGTTGTCAAGGTCAAGGAAAGAGACAAAAGTATGGACAGGGCTCTGTATAACTTCTCTAGTTCTTGCAGGGGACAATTTCTTTTAAAGAAATTTAAAAAAAAATGTAGGTCACCTAAGCCTCCACCTGATGAGCCAGCAGTGGTGCCTATGTGATCAGATAATAACATCAGCTTCAGGAATATCGCCCAAAGGTCGGTATTCAGGGAGAAAAATAGTATATCAGAGTAGTTATAAAAGTTTGATAGAATTGGTTGCGGACAAAGATTTTAAAGAATATGAATATCATAACAAAATTAGATTTGTACATTTAAATACACAAGTGTAGGCATAACCCTAGGAAATGAATGACTGATCAGATCGGTAGATATCTGCATTTAAAAGCATTGAAGATTATTACCGAATAGTCTATATAAATTATAATTAGTCATTTTTGACTGTTTCAGGCTTTTTGTCCAATTTCGGCTGTAGGGGTGAAACGGTCAAAATTGTTTCCAGGTCAGAGAAAACTGGTACCCGGCGCGATTTATTTTGCGCAGAAATCCCCCCTCGAGTTATTTGGAAGACATCATGTAAATTTGATATGCAGTAGGTAACCTGGCTATATGTAGAAATTGGTTTTTACCTAACATGTAAACTTTTGGAAGCATTGAAATTAATCTTGGTATTGCAGTTGAAGTTCAACTGGTCAAAAGATTTATCTCCCTTTAAAGCTGTCGCACCACAGTATCTTACACATTTCATATACACACATGTACATACATATACATTATGAAGTAATGCTGATCTGCTACTACAGTGTAAGCATTACAAAAATGATGAAATTAAAGAACTTCAAACAATTGTCTCTGATATCTGATAGATCTCAGATAGTTAATTCAAAAATGCACTTACAAAATTGTTTTTAGCAAAAATATCAACTCTACTGACAACATTTGTCCATTTGATATCTACATATAAATATTTTGTACGTGGTAATATTTTACTCCTTTCAGGGTTATTTTACTCCTAGACCTTTTATTTTACCCCTAGATGTTTTAGTTAACCCCTTCCCGGATTATTTTTCCCTATTCTGAGTATTTTACTCCTTTTCTAGTCACCAGTGTACTGTATCTCATCCTGTTTCCAGCCAAATCAATTAACTCAACTTTACATCTATATTCTTGTTATCAGGCATTAAATCTTTGAGGATACCATGTACTGTCCTCTTGTTTACAGTCCACCTAACCGCTTTATTTCTCTAGTTGTTTATGGTCGAGGATGACTATGTACCTGTCCTCTTGTTTTCAGCTAACCGTAGCACATATCTCTTCTTTTTTACAGTCCTCCTATCTGTCTTCTGTTAACAGATGGCCTAAATATTATATGTGTCTGTTTTCTTTACAGTCAAACCATGTTGGAATAATAGATGTAAGCTTCACTCCACGTGTCTTGCTTGAGAGCAGTGTTGAATTTTTAAGGTAAGACACTTTTTGCATTTAATCTTTGTGGTTTGAAAGCAACATAGTATTTCTGAAACAATCTGGCATGCTAATGTTGGGTAAAAATGGGCTATATTTTTTTGTCAGCAGGGCCTTTTCTGTCTAAAATATTATTGAGACATACAGTTGTGGGAACGCACAACGTTACACGATGTGCGGTGTGCGTGAAATGTGAGCACAGTGTGTGAACGATAAAAATCTGGACAATAATTGCTTTCACACATTTGTACGGACGATGGCAAAATGCTGTGCGATGACAATCGTGGTCGGTGTAAATTGAGAAATGGCTTAACTGTTTCATGTTAAAACATATAAAGTTGACTTTTTAAGTGTGTTTCTATATTCTAGCTAAACTTTCTATATTTTCTTAGATTTAGATATGTTGTTTCCAAGTATTTTAAACAGTTAAACATGGCAACTTTTTACATGTACTTGGAATGTAGTTTTCCCTAGCCGGGGAACTTTCGTAACTCGGCAAGGTGTGAAAATTCAGGTGAAGGGGGCTATAGACCAAAAGGTTAAATACTCAATATCCTGTTGTGTTTTCATAACAGTCACACGGTATCATATATCAGCTCTCTATGTCGGCCACAGGGCACCAGGTAAAACTCTGGTCACTCATCAAAATGCTATTTATCTGTTCTGTTACCTGCGAGCAAAACCTATTCTTGACAGCCTAACAGTCGCTGTAATACTGTGTAACATGCATTGTAAAATTGAATAAAATATAATTTTAATTAATATGTCTGAGAAACTTATGTATACAGTGTTCCTTATTCCATACAAGGGTTCCAGATTTTTTTCATTCTGTAATCTTGATCAACCAATTGTACCAAATCGCACATTTGTGCGGAGAGAAGCGCAAAACGAGGCGAACGATTGTTAAATCACACAGATTGCACATTTGTGCAGAGAGAAGCGCACAACGAGGCCAACGATTGTTAAATCGCACAGTTGTGTGCACCATATATGGATGATGTGCGGACGGTGTGCAGTACGCTATTTTTGGTTCGTTGTGCGGTCACCCAACTGTATCGCCTCCCACTTTGATAACATTCAGGTGATCCTGGTACATTGTGAGTGTGTGGCAAATATACCATGCAGAATTAAACTGACTGTATGATTATTAAAATTGGATGAATATCTTAATAGCCAACAACAAGCCTCCGGCTAAGCCTAGGATACAGAGATGATATTATTATAAACTGATTTTTAATGAGAAAAATGCATGATACATGTATGATACTGAATTTATGTATATACCAGTATTAAAAATAACAGGTAAGATGAGATAGCTATACCTGTAAGACCATCACGTTTGGTAGAAGTGGTTGTTTGATGTAATTAAAATGATGTTAATTTTTGAAGTATTGAATGAATTAGGTAGGTACGGAAATTTTCATTTATTTAGATTTGCCTGAAATGTATCTTAATTAACAAACTTTTGGCCATTTGTGTGTACAGTATCTTAAAATGTTATCCTGACATGGACAACTCCAGATCAAAGCAATGTACATGTATTTTGAGAGATTTTGATAAAGCTGTTTTGGGAAAGGTGTATTGGTTTATTTGAATGTTTGCCAAATTTGGGTTCTGAACACTTTAAACAGACCCAGTTTGTAGGAAATACTTGGTGTAATTGTGGTGTAACCAAGACCTCTTACATCTCTACAGCCCTAAACTATAAAACTGCTAAACCGGTATTGACAATGTGCTGTGAAAAACTAATATTTTCACTCTTAAATATTATATCCCCGGATTATGTAGATTTACATGTCAGTCTCATTTTGACATTCCTTTTTGTTATGAACAATGCAAGTTTTCACCACCGGAGTTGTCTGGGTCGTTGATCATGCAGGCTCCTTGAGATTATTGCCCCACCTGTTTGGTTGTACAGGAATTGGAAGGGGTTTACCATACAAATCCCTTTGTCGCTCTAAGTAATGCACATGATCTTATCCCGAGCAAGTAACAGGCCCCTTTGTGTGAGTTTGTTCTCACAATAGTATTACTGCAGGTATGTGCTATATACAATGGAAGGAGATAACTAGGATCAGTCTGTTAAAGTAATCAGTACAATGTTTGTATTACCCCAGTAATCTATAGTCAGGGCCCATGATACTGAAGCTTTCATAGACTTATATCTAAATATTAATTTGTTGATAAAATTTACTTTTTTGGTATCCCATCCATACCGCTGCCAAAATCTGCAACAACACATCAGAATGTTTCCGCCCTCCCTCCCCCCCCCAAGCCATGACTATTTATAGCTCTAATTGGACCTTTATTAAAAACAATGATAAAAAAGAAGAAATCAACAAAATACAATCAGCAATCGGGTTCAGAGTGAAAAAAATAGCTTGGCTTGACCAGGATACAAACTGTGGACTTCAGATTGTTTTATTACCAATTGATTTGAAGTCACTCCTTGATGCTACTCTGAAATCTTAGAAAGACTTAAGACTAGTTAGCTTCTGGTTCCTATTTCTGGAAGAAAAACATATATTTAGTGATTTTACATGCATCCCTGTTGATTTGTGTTGACAGTAAACTGTGTAGGGACAGATATGGATGTGCCCCCAATGTACAGCTGCTGGGACACATGTCCGTCCAGTTCCCCTACATGCCTCAGCCAGTCGAGTACATTGTAGGCGAGGTAATGAAAAACGCTATGAGGTATGTGCAACATTGTTAATATTCTAGTAATTTTAAAAATATGTTCTCTCATGTTGTTGTCTAATCAGGCTACATTACAAAAGGTTAATGTAACAAGTAGATAAAACCAAGTTTTAGTTCTGTAATACTATAACATACATATTTTAGCACTTTTCAGCTTTCAGTATTGCGCCAGGTTTTTTGTATAGTTTTTTTTCTCTCATTTCCCCGTGTGTAAGATAGAGCTATCCAGACATTTCTATCTTACATCCCATTTCACATGACGTGACGTCACAACGGACCACAATGACGTGACTACACGAATTAGGAACTCTTGGAATTGTGGTCTGTCAGAACACATTTTCATGGTTTCTGAGCTTATTCTGGTGGTTGGAATGAGAGAAAAATACTCTTTTATTCCCAAAGGTGTAGGATAGGGAAATTCCACCTTCAGGATTTTCTAATTTGGAAAAACCAGAGGCTTTAATTCCCTATCCTACATCCCTGTGTATGAAAGAGTCTTTTGCATATGTTGAGAGTATGCCAATTCATTGAGGCACTAATCTGATAAAATTTGATGGTACAATAAAATTTGAGTCTGCTAAAAGAAGTACTTTTACTTAAGCAATGCAAATTTTAGTAAATATTGTTATGGTCCTATAACACACATTGCTATTGATGACAAACTGGCTTTATGTAAGTTTGCCAGCAATGGAAATGTGTGTTATAGGACCATAACAATATTTGCTAAAATAATCATTTATTAAATATATTTACAATTTGATAGAGTAGTTATGCTTTATTAAGTTATTTCAAACAGTTTTTGAACAGTAGAATTAAGTGTTGACAACAATGAAATTAATGATGTCACAATAGAGATTGATGACGTTACAATAGCAAATGTTGTTATAGTCTCATAACAACATTTGCCTTCTCAATGCATTACAATGGAAGGATGCAGAGTAAATGTAAATGTAATAGTATATCACCAAGCATTTGCTGGTTTGGTTATTTTTTTGTTAAGTGTTTTGCTTTTCATTTTAGGGATGGCTGATATCTAGTTTATCAAGAATAATGAATTTGTTGAAGTTAAATAAGCTCATGTCCATGTGACTGTTGTGTAGCCGACATAATTGTGATTTGTTCATGGCATTATACATAAACTGCAATTGATTCACAGTGTACATACATTCATTTTGTAACTTCAAAACAGTTCTGTTTCTCTGAAATCTCTTTAAGGTTTTATCAAATGTTCGAAAGCATAGAGCTTGCTAATGTATAGGTAAAAAACAACAGAAGTAAAAAGTTAATTTTAGAAATCATTTAACTTCCATTTCTTCCTTTTCACAGTAAAGATTAGACAAAATTATATTTTTTCAGAGCCACAGTGGAGAAGAATCGTGGGAATTACAGTAACATACCTGATGTGGTTGTAACAGTAGCTAACAATAACACAGATTTCATCATTAAGTAAGTATAATAGACTACTGTATACCAGAATTTTTTCCCAGTAAAATTTTCGCCCTTCCCACAACTTCAATTTTCGCCCTTCCCACAACTTCAGTTTTTGCCCAGTGTTAATTTCCCCCTTCACATTTTATTACTATGTGTATAATGTTGTTTACTTGTATTTGCTGTTGTGATTAATTCACCCTCATCACAGACGGCAAAAAATGTGAAAATTGAATTGAAGCGAAAATTTCTCGGTTTACATATTATACTCGGATACATTGTCACTATAGTAACAATAAGACAGACTTCATCATCCGTTGAGTATAGACTACTGTACGCATTGTACTATTGATTGTCAATTTATAAATACTGCAAAACTAACAGAATTTAATTGTTCATCATTGTGACTGCAAGCATTGAAGACAGATTTCATCATTAGGGAAGTATTTTATACTGCTTACACTATACACAGAGACATATATGCAATGGCTTCCTCAGCAAAGATTGGAAACACTGAACAAAGTACTTTATCACTAAGTAAGTCTTGAACACTTGATATTTATCCAGAAAGATAAACGAAAGACACACACATGTGAAAGCACATTTAAAATTTGATAATAGATACGGTATAAAATGTGTACGAGTTGTCCACAAAATCAAAGTCGATTTGGCTACGGTGTAAGCGTTTGTACAATAGTTGTTATATATGAACTGAAATGACCCGATTCAGCTACACTTTGTTTAATACTTGGTCATAGATGTGTGAGAGTCTTTGAGCCCCCTCATCTCGATTCATATCTTATTGGTTGTGTAATCAAAACTTTCCATAATCCATACTTACCAACCCGAAGAAAATGTTTAGAAATGCATAGAGCTGTTTTGGCATTCTAGGACTCATTTGTGTGCTAGTGGCTGAAAAAGATGGAAATCTAAATTGCTCTAAACTGGTGTTCAAAGAGTAGGGGAGACACATTAAACTCCTTAGTCATGTGATTTAAAAAATAATAGACTAGAACTGATAATGAGTAAGGAGTGTATATTATGAACTAGCTGTGCCACTACTCAAAATAGAGCACTATGGCTATCAAGGTTAATGCACACCTCAGGGACATCACCATAGTCATACTGCACAGTGGAAATCAAAATATCTTTGACACATTGAGAATAAACATTTCAAAATGATTGATAAAAGTAATTTGATATCAACTGTCTGGGTTTAAAGACAAAAATAGAAATCCACCACTCCATTAGTCCATATAAGTGTAACGCCCAATTGTTAACATAATGATACACCATTTATATGTTTAAAATGGGACTTAACAATACCTCACACCTTAAGTGCATGCATGTGCTCTATACCTTTACCTTTGCACACTTCGTCATTGCTGCTTGGCGTATAGTTTACAGATGAAAGATCTTCAGATACAAATATCTGAAACGTCTCAATTTTTTTTATATGCTTAGCCATATACATACACTTGTACATACTCGGTATATTTATGTACCAAAGAAAAGACCTTCTCTATTTATACTCAATTTTGATATTCAATCTTATAATTGTGAGGAGCAATACAAAGCTAATGTCCCTGGCAGGGTTTTCTTCTCTAGAGGAGATATCAAAGAAACCATTATTGGTCTACTGGGTCCATTAAAATAATTAGTTTCTATTTATTTTTTTCTGCCTTTAATCTTTGAACTGTGTTGATATGGCTTTAACACAACTCAATGTGTGTTTTGACCATTCTGGGAGTATTTTCATCATTGAAATTAAACTTTACTTAATAACATTCAGATGGAGAGTCAGTGGTATCTAAATTTACAGTGATTTACCAGCTGGGCAATGGCATTTATAGTCTAATGAATGACATCCTTGAATTTGAGTGGTAAACATTACCATTTTACTTCCAATTTGTTTTATCAGTATTGGGAAATTGGCTTGTTATTCCCAATACATGAAGTGGAAAGTGTGATGCCTATTTCGTATACAGAATCAAGTGGTTTTTGTGTTGTTGATGGAAGAGGATATTGCAGATGTCAAATCTGCTGGGACCTTTGCCATACTTAGATTTTATGTCCTTTCCTATTCCTGCCATATTCTCTTTCAACTATTGACCATTTCCCACGATTAAGGATTGTTATTGATATATTAAATAATAAAATATCATTTGGACTCGCTCATGGACACTGACATTTTCAGTTGTTTGGTAAGATGATCCTATTTAGATATACACTATTAGAAGTATGTCAAATCAGAGTCTGACATTAAATGATCATACAACACAAGGTCTGTTGTATCAGTGTGTCAGTAAACATTTTAGACCAAATGTAGTACATAGTATTATAACTTCTCCTAACAAAGGTTGTAGTTACTGCTTTGAAATATTTGTCAGGAATATTTACTACTCCAACAATGTTAGAGGTTTTACACGGCGAAAAACTTTTGACAGGCGCGTCGCAGTCGGCAAAATCATATCCGATTGAAAAAAGGCCGACCAGCGGCCTCTCATGTTATGGGAGTAGAATATTTACCTGATTTGAGAGGTACAACACCCCAGTCGATTTACATATCCTCATAGCTGACATGTTATTTGTAAAATATATAGCAAATATTTGTATTAGATTTAGTGAAAAGATAGACGAAATATTTTCACCTTTGAACACGCTTGGTTTTGTGAACATACCAACATTGGATAAACACCACATGTATCATGTGTCACCTTAATAACGCTGCATACATATACAGTTTTAAATACCCCAATCTCTGTTTACAAAGTTTTCTGTATCTATGATAAGTATCAGAACGATATTCAAACAACTGTTTTGCATATATATCATCTTTGTATTCCCAAGATAAAGTGTAATAAAATGCAATACTTGCTGTGTAATTTTACGATTCTTTTTAGGAAAATATCATGTAGATGGTATGTTAATATCACCTTTATAAATAACCAGTCAGAATAGTGTTAAAATTTATTTGTAATAATAATTAGTAATTTTAGTTGTGGCTATAATTGATATTGTTAACTGATAACCTCATTAAGTATGCATACATTGAATAAAACCTGTTGTCGAAATCAGATTTTACTTAAAGTATTTTATGCATTTGAAACATGAAAGAGGATATGAATTTAATGTTTGTTTTTTGTTGTTCAATATACAAATTTCACGCATGATTGCTAGTTTCATTTTGTCTTCAATTTTGGTATACGATCACAATACTTCTATGGTTTGATCTCATTATAAATTATTACTTATTGTAAGGAAAGAACGTGACAATTTATCATCCAATCAACATTCAAATTATACATGCTTTATAGAAAAGTTAGCAGTTGGAAAAGAAATGTCGTAACTGACATGTTGGTCATGAAATGGGCCCAGCATCCTGAAGATATTAAATACACTTTTATAACATGGTCCAGGTACATATACATGTATGGTGGTATATTGTACAGAATCTGTAGGGTGATGTATAGTATAATGCTATATACTTTTGTAATTGAGGATCGTTATTATGTAATAGGCTCCCAATAATATGAACTTTTCATTTCATTCTGTGTGTCGCTATTAATGATAATTATTGGATAGAACCGCTGCCTGAACCACTTGTTATAGTGATACTGTAGATATGTGGAGTGTATGTAAAAAGTGATATGTCAATATGATATGTATAAAGATACAAGGTTGTACGTGAATAATGACGTGGTCATGTCTTACATGTATGTATAAAGATACAATGTTGTTCGTGAATAATGACGTGCCCATATCCCACATATGAAGATACAATGTTGTACGTGATTAATGACGTGCCCATACCCCACATATAAAGATACAACGTTGTTCGTGAATAACGACGTGCCCATATCCTACATATAAAGATACAACGTTGTTCGTGAATAATGACGTGCGCATATCCCACATATAAAGGTACAATGTTGTTCGTGAATAACGACGTGCCCATATCCCCCATATAAAGATACAAGGTTGTTCGTGAATAACGACGTGCCCATATCCCCCATATAAAGATACAAAGTTATACGTGAATAATGACGTGCCCATATCACACATATAAAGATACAAGGTTGTACGTGAATAATGACGTGCCCATATCCCACATATAAAGATACAAAGTTATACGTGAATAATGACGTGCCCATATCTCACATATAAAGATACAAGGTTGTACGTCAATAATGACGTGCCCATATCCCACATATAAAGATACAATGTTGTACGTGAATATTTGCGTAGTCACGACTCTGTATTGTTCGTGAATAATAACGTGCCCATATCTAGAGACGTATATACTAAATGTCTGCCATATCCTACTAGGTATAAAGATACTAAGTTGTGCGTGGATATATAGTGACGTGGTGATAGTGACAAAATGTATATTCTATATAAAGGTAAAAGTAAACAAAGTCCTGCCTCAGCTAGCCATTTCTTGCGATTACGTTGGCAAACTGTGACAATTCATTACTACATGTAGTTGAATTATAATTTTCATTACACCAATAAACCGACCAATTTATATATAAGTTAAAAACGATGGATATGATGTTTTAAAAATATAATATATACCTGTAATGGTGTAATTGTACATTGTTTTATATCGTTTGATATTTTATTGTGGTAACAGAGAATTCTGTGTCATTAAGTGAATGTCTTTAATGCATTTGCTACATCGCCTTATAATCAAAATTCCATACGGTGAATATACAAACACTGTAATCCGTTATAATTGTAATGAGTGTTTATTTAACCTCTCACCTGTAACAAACACTTAACATGACATGAAAGAAATTATTAATATTACTAATCTTAATCCTCACCGTGACTATATTTATCGTAATCCCTGCCTCCCATAGACCGAATATTGTGTCGAATCATATAGCTGTTAAGTCGGTAACGCTGACCTGCACTTGTGGATTAAAGTCTATATACAAATCATGATATAACATGGATTGAATGATATACACCACACGTACTTTTAGTGTGGTAAGTTGTCCTGTAATCAGGAGCAGGTTAGTCGTTAGTCAGGTATTTCAAACTTAAGGTAATTAGTGAAAATACTTTTAACTTAAAAATATTTTTCTTGATTCTTCACGTAATTAGCTAATCATAAATTCAAACATGTAATGAATATTTCTTTAGCTAAAATTTAACAGAAAAATAACTTTGCGTCGATCCAAGACTCCGCTGAATGCTCCTGGGAAGAACATTCTCAAAACTAAGTATATGGAAACGAAATCACTTTGTAGTAGTGTTTTTGGGTGTTTTCTTTTGCTTTCACTTTTCTATGTCTTACACAGAACTATTGAATGGATTCAGTAAAAACTGCTGTAGCTGAATAGTTCACTAGTACATGTATTACGTGAACCGGTAACATGATGAAGGATCGCAAAAATGGAAACACCGGCGAACGTTAGATATTATTCGAAAGAAAATATGATGATCAATATAGTAGGAACAGTCAAATACGCGTGTTGTAATGTTTCATTTTTCAATTCACAAATCAACTAACATTAACCAAACGAAACACCTTTTTTACCATTGGAAAAATAATCAAATAACCACAAGTAAAGAGATGATTTTTCTGAAGCAATGGACCAACGGAAAACTTAAAGGAATTATCCTTAGTTGAGGGAAGTTAGTAAAATTTGAGTCAATAGGATACCGTCTTGGTTTTGACTTTTAGCATCCAATCCCATAGCCATATGATCAATTCCTTGAACATGTATTACTCGTATTGTCAAACATGTGTCGACTGATTTCCTTTTTATATTTATCCTACATATACGACTAACTCTAGCCTGTCTAATTGAACGGTGATACACAAAACTAATCACAGTCACCTCTTGGTATGAAAACCTCCCATAGAAGAGTTTTGTCTGATCGGAGGCAAAGGGTTTTGACGCGGCGTCTCCTTAACACAGCTAGTGTTTATTCTATAGTCCGAAAAGAAGTCAGCCTCGTTCTCCATCTTTTCTCTCGTGTAATCCAATTGGTTGTAATTCACCATTTCAAACTGTTTATTGTCACGTCCGGACTCCTTGGACTTATTTTTCTTTTTCCCGATTTTAGGCAGTACTGGGTACTTCCGTTCTTGAATGCCACTCTGCACACGTGACCATTCCTCCAGTGGTTCTATTATGTCTCGCAGGTTCAAGTTGACCGGCGTGGGAACGGACGTTTGCCGTGAAGTGTCTATAAACGGAATTCTGTTATTGTCATTGTCAATATGATTTATAGGCAGGTGCGAAAAAGTATTGGAAAGTTCCTCACTAGAAACACTTGACTTTTCATCGATTTCATGATGTTCCTCCTGATCCGAATCCATCTGAAGAGATATGTTAGTTTTTGTCGTCTCGGCTGATAAATGTATTGAAGGTGCATCTATATGAACGGATCTCCGAGACGAATGATTTGTGGCGTTGTCCAGTTTCATGAAGTCTCCACTGGCCTGGTCCCTCTCTGCGTCCCCATTTTCCTGGTATCCAGAATCTTTGCTAGTCTCACTCATCGTATTAGAAATATGCATATTTGATTTTTTAAAGTTCATGTGAGGAATCACCTTACCAGAATTGCCCGTTTTGTTGTTATTGGAATTGAAGTTAATTCTTTAACGAAACACAATTCACTTCTTCTCTGGTATTCACTGAAGAAAGAGATGCTTTGATTTGGCTGACAGTTTCTGTTTTGTTAATAATCCCCTGTAGTGACATGGAGCGATATCTATCCCTGACACGTATTAGTATCGATGACACGGCCTTTGCTTAACGCCACTATTTGCAACACTATCTATCACGTGTTCTGTATGTATGAATACAAAACAACACTTTCGTTTACTACAGTGTTAATTGTAATAAGGACACTTACTGTTTTCCCAAATCCTTCTATAGAAACAGAGAACCTTCGTAAGGATTCCACGGCCTCCTGATTAGAAACATTGTATGCGTAGATAGACGGTGCTAAGGAATCCCTGTAGGCAGATTGAGTATCCTCTTCATAATTAGGGTCAATACTTGCCAACCATTCCACAGCTCTGAAGTGTCAGATTTCCCGTACCGATAAACCGTGCTTGTTTTTTGGTAACAATGAGTTGTATATACCTGTACCGCACCACCCGGTGTTCTAAGTGTATTCCTGTAAGACGCACTGACACAATACAAACATTACATCAAACACATATCTGGAATTTGTTGTTGTGTATTGTGTGAACGCTCCGGCGAATTCTTTTTTCCTTGTTTAATTAGTTTTGTTTTCTTTGTTTACATCATTGACTCGTGACAATGGAGGCTCCGACAAAGGCTCGGGCTGTCGACAGGGGATCCGTCAATATTTGTCAAACTACACAATGCGTGCTGATATTGTTCCAATCTGCAAACAATGAAATATGTAGAATTAATAATTCACGTATATTATTATTTAGTTGAAGTCCTATACTAAAACATCCGATGGAACCGAATGAGGTTTTATTGGTGTGACTGTCCCACGCGTACAGTTTATACCTCCAATGTACTGTTTGACTCTACCATACGTTTACATAGGTAGAAGGTCAATTACAAATCCGAGCTACATTTAGTATGTGTTTCAATTTCATTTCGTATTTTAAAAGCATGATATGTTAGATAACGCCCACTAGTATACCAGTTACCCGTGGCCTTCCTCTACCATAGAATACATTCTGGTGGTGTTATACTTCATACACAAGCACGAATTACTACCCTAGGAAGTCTTAATATATCAACAGAAAATCTCGATATTGACAGCACCGTCTTAAAAGTTGCAATATTGACAGCACCGTCTATGAGGTCGCGATTTGACAGCACCATCTATGAAGTCGCGATATTGACAGCACCGTCTATGAAGTCGTGATATTGACAGCACCGTCTATGAAGTCGCGATATTGACAGCACCATTTATGAAGTCGCGATATTGACACCACCGTCTATGAAGTCGCGATATTGACAGCACCGTCTATGAAGTCGTGATATTGACAGCACCGTCTATGAGGTCGCGATTTGACAGCGCCATCTATGAAGTCGCGATATTGACAGCACCGTCTATGAAGTCGCGATATTGACAGCACCCTCGATGAAGTCGTGATATTGACAGCACCGTCTATGAGGTCGCGATTTGACAGCGCCATCTATGAAGTCGCGATATTGACAGCACCGTATATGAAGTCGTGATATTGACAGCACCGTCTATGAAGTCTCGATATTGACAGCACCGTCTATGAAGTCGTAATATTGACAGCACCGTCTATGAGGTCGCGATTTGACAGCACCATCTATGAAGTCGCCATATTGACAGCACCGTCTATGAAGTCGTGATATTGACAGCCCCGTCTATGAGGTCGCGATTTGACAGCACCATCTATGAAGTCGCCATATTGACAGCACCGTCTATGAAGTCGCGATATTGACAGCACCCTCGATGAAGTCGTGATATTGACAGCACAGTCTATGAAGTCACGATATTGACAGCACCGTCTATGGAGTCGTGATATTGACAGCACCGTCTATGAAGTCTCGATATTGACAGCACCGTCTATGAAGTCGTAATATTGACAGCACCGTCTATGAGGTCGCGATTTGACAGCGCCATCTATGAAGTCGCGATATTGACAGCACCGTATATGAAGTCGTGATATTGACAGCACCGTCTATGAGGTCGCGATTTGACAGCGCCATCTATGAAGTCGCGATATTGACAGCACCGTATATGAAGTCGTGATATTGACAGCACCGTCTATGAAGTCTCGATATTGACAGCACCGTCTATGAAGTCGTAATATTGACAGCACCGTCTATGAGGTCGCGATTTGACAGCGCCATCTATGAAGTCGCGATATTGACAGCACCGTATATGAAGTCGTGATATTGACAGCACCGTCTATGAGGTCGCGATTTGACAGCGCCATCTATGAAGTCGCGATATTGACAGCACCGTCTATGAAGTCACGATATTGACAGCACCGTCTATGTAATCGCATCCTATGCATGAATGAATAAAAAGGAAATCAGTTCTACCTCGAAAACATGCGTGACTATTCAAGTGTCATTCTGTACTTTTCTAAAACATAGGAACGCCTTAAAAAATTAACAACATCTGAAATCTCCAACAAATAATCGATCTTGTTATGGGAAGTAGTATATTTGTGTCAACATAAATCCCTTTACTTCTCGTAATACTAAAAAAATAAAATGCTTTTGTTGAGAAGATTGTGAGAATGTAGCGTTGACAATCACTGGATGGTATTTGTCTCGTTATTGTTTTTCATTGAAAAAGCATATACATTGTATGAGAATATGGAAATAATAATCGCTTTGTTAATGTACTATGTGTAATACTACGTCACTTCGTAAGCTTACTGTTGATGTGATTTCATAAATTATGTATAAAGAATTGTAAATTAAGGTAATAATCAATTGACTACAATAGAAAGTACCCTGACAATACCGGGTTGTAGCGAATCTATACTGCTTCTGTAAATAACAAATGAATATTGATTCTTAACATAGATTCATTCACGATATTTAAAGGGTTCATCGATGTATGATACATACTTATATATATATTGTAATTTACGTTGTACTTTTGGGATAGTCGATAAATGAATAAAGAAAAAATAAAGGTATGCTCGTCCTGGCCAATACACAATTTGTATTGATTTATTTAAGTGTCATTACTAGCTGTTCATCAATATTTCGTCAATTGATCTGTCTGTCCAAAAGACATCGCTGTAGCCGAAAATAGTCCCATTGTTGATATGGCATTGTGACCAGTATAACTGCAGTGGCTAGGATGTGTTCTGGACGTATGTAACCATACCAGAGTACGTGGTGACAACACCTGTTAATAGTCTATTGTACTTGGTTCGCTGTTGACTGTGCGTGCATATTTTCAAACTGATAACAACTAGGCCCGTATTGATCTCCCGAATGTGACCATTATTCAAATGATAACATTCACAAAAAGCTAGACTATCTAACTGTGGCCGTGTAGTGTAGCCGTGATTGATTTGCTTCTTTGATTACATTATTAGCAGTAAAGAAGTAGTTGTTCAGTGTATATGCAACCATACTGACACTCAAAACAACATACAATGTAGGTCATACGCCTGGGGGATGTCGGGTGTAGGACTCCTTGCCGTTACGTAACTCGGCAGTTAGTAAGTCAAAGTTAACAAAATTATGCATTTACACAGCAAACACAGCTACATGTATATCAAACATATATATATATATATAAATATATCCATATAGTCAGTATATCAAACACAGCTATATAGTCAGTGTATTAAATACAGCTATATAGTCAGTATATCAAACATATCCATATAGTCAGTATATCAAACACAGCTATATAGTCAGTATATCAAAAACAGCTATATAATCAGCATATCAAACATATCCATATAATTAGTATATCAAACACAGCTATATAGTCAGTATATTAAATACAGCTATATAGTCAGTATATCAAGCATAGCTATATAGTCAGTATATCAAACATATCCATATAGTCAGTATATCAAACACAGCTATATAGTCAGTATATCAAGCATAGCTATATAGTCAGTATATCAAACATATCCATATAGTCAGTATATCAAATACAGCTATATAGTCAGTATATCAAACACAGCTATATAGTTAGTATATCAAACACAGCTATATAGTCAGTATATGAAATACAGCTATATAGTCAGTATATCAAGCATAGCTATATAGTCAAACACATCTATATAGTCAGTAGATCAAATGTAGCTATACATACATTAATCAGAACATATATATTTCGAATTTTCCACATGTCAACTCATTTAAACAAGCTAAATTGTGTTCATGTAACGCCATGGCATATGAACTGGAGTTTATTGCCAGTAAGTAAAAATTGAACATAAATTAATTTCTAATTTGGTAGGAACTTAAAGTATGGGTCTATATCGTGTGAAAATAAATTCAGGTATCTGGGATACAATGCTTTCTTTAACCAAGAGTACGATAAATGCCTAATATATAAACGCATTATCTCAAATTATGTAATTATCGACTGTGAAAACATTGTGGGATCCCTTCGGATTGGTTTTTGATCACGATTCGATGCATTTAGACAATTGAAAAAATACTTCACTGTTATAGATTTGAAATATTTTGATTTAAGCCATGTATCGATTAAATATGGACATTGCGACTAGACGGCACGGAGACATGTTTTGACAAACGCTAATTGAGTTTCCTAACTTCATGATGACTGGTATTCCAATGGACAATTAGTTTATTGATTAAAGCTAATATTCCTGCCTTCATAAAGCGCAGGATTTGTTGTTTATTAAAGTGCTAAGCGTATGGAGTTATTGGTAGATATTATAACAATTCACATCTACTAATGTAATATTATTTTACTGGTCATGGTGAAATTCAGTATGGCAATGTATCAGTGACAGTCCCATTAGTATTAACTACACGTACTTAATGGTTATATTAAATCAATTCCTCTAATATATGGATATACATCGTTGGTAAAAAAAATAACGACGAATTCATGAGTGATATTGCATTCAAACGTCTCACCGTCAAACAAATGACGTATGAAAAAAGGTTTTCTTTTCTGTAAACCTCCCAACAAGTCATTATTTTAAAAGTCAAAAACTTGTTATAAAGTTAACGATCCCAGATATAACAGGGGCCCTGGAGCAATTCAATTTAAAGAGACAAGTACTGTCTGTCCCAGAAGGTAATTAAATAGGATTGTGTCGGTTAAACAGTGCTAATTATAATCAAATGTTTACAATAAAAAGCTAGTCTGTGTACTATGGTCGTTTTTATATCAAATAGAAATGTCACCTGGTTGTACAAGGTACTTGTTGCTGGATGTTTATTGCCAGCTTTACAGTTAATTATGTTACATTAAACATACCGTCAACGCATGTTTTTATCTGTGTCCATGGTTGTCAAAAGAGTAGACGCCACTGTTGTCAATATGAAGAATAAATACAGTTGTCAATATAGAGAATATTACTAGTAACACAGTTGTCAGTATAATGATATGTCTCGCTTCACTGTTGTCGATATAAAAAAATACATGTCTCGGTACACAGTTGTCAATGCTAAAAAAACTATTATTAAGAGCTGTTAATAGATCTATCGGTGTTCACTGCTGCTAAAAACTTCTGTATTCAAAGCTGTCGATTTATTGTTCGCAGCTGCTAAGAGAATTTGTGTCAATAATTGTCATTTTGTTTACTAGTATTCACAACTGTCAGTTGATTTAGAGTGTCTGGTAAGATAGCGTCCACAATTGTCAATTGATTTACTCGTGTTCGCGCTTGCAAATAGAACTAGTGTGTAGACATGTCGATATTAAATACATTTTGTAGTATCTATTATGACATACAGGTGAGTTGTAAAATCATATTTGGTAACTTTCAACATTTCTTTATTTACGTTTTTATCAATAATCATCTGTTGATGATTCGGAAAATATGTGAAAACAATAAAAACAGTATAAGCAGAGAACATTTAATATATAAAAAATAGTAGATAAAATAGAAATATCGAACATGAGACTAAGTCAATATGACGTTAGTCTGTCTGATTGAATGGTATGATTATTCAATACTTAAGATAGACAAGAAATACTTATATTTCTAAAACCGTATACTCACTTTCACCTTTTATAAAGGGATAAAATTTTCGTTTTTAGTTCACATTGTCTCATCAGCAAATATAGAATTCATCCATCTTATCAAAATGTAGTTATGTAGAAATATGTAATGGTCGAGTTAGATACATACCTAGGTATTCAATATATCCCGTGTTTAGTATCCACACTACTAACCTACCGACCGAGTAGTTACATTTCCTTACGTATGTATAGAAGCCCACGGATTACTTCCTTCACTGTGCTACATATGTTCATGTTCCATTTCAAGGCGTCCCACTGTTTAGCACAGTTGGAAACTGGCCTAAGCTCGCTGTTACACAGATATATATACTGGCATGATCAGGACACACTCCAGGTTGTATATCAAACCTAAGACATTGTTCAAGATCCCGAGGCGTGCAGACCGCATGATAATAAGAATGAAAGGGTTTAAATACCCCGAATTAAGTTTTCAATATATATCAGGGTTGGTGTTCGAGGGATTAGTACCAATATAGAGGGGGGCATTTAAAACGTGTAAGAGAGTGTTTATGAGTCTTACCAAACAGGCGAAATAAGATCAGAAGGTAAGGCCTACTTCACAAAGACGAAAATATACACAGACCGTTCTGGTGACATCATACCTGTTCCTTGTAATTGGATAGAATACCGTTATTTTCGCTCGAGGACGCGAGAACCATTAGCAGTAAACGTTTGATCCGTAAAAGTAGGCGTGGTATTTCTTGGTTAAATCCCAATCGATTCTTCATTACGATCAGCGGAAACTCGTCAGTTGTGTCTGTATGACTTAATATACGTAACATATCACATAATATTAAGGTTTTTTAGGCCATACACTGCTTGCATCTGAAGGTAATATTGAAGAATAAGAAGTAAATGTCGATGAAATAATATGATTTAATTCATAAATCAATATGAAACCCACAACCAAAGACAAAATTCGCGCTTTTACTTGGTTTACCTTATCTTATCGAGGATATATATGCATTTAGGTATATCAAGTTTAAAAAGAAAAGGATCTTAAATTATTGAATACATAAACAGCTGATAAGTATGTCATGAATTTGCTTTAGGATTACATGGATAAGATCAAGGTTGGAATGATAATGTAGTCACGTGACAAACAAGATGGTATTACGTACTGTATATTAGTAACCAAGGACAAGAAAAATAGCTAGTAAGCGCTTCCCATGATTACGTACGTAACAGATGGCTGGTTTTACTTGATAACGTTAATGGTATACGCTTGTATCATTCACGTCAAAAAAAGCCATGTTTTACCATAGATTAGGCTACCTTAGTTATGGATCATTGAAATTGTTTAAATGAATTTGTATTAACCAGGAATTGTAGGTATAGAGGGGTGTATGTAGAGTAATCGATGACAGATACTTTGCAGTCAACAATATCCAGTTTTTCGATAAAATAACACTGAATTTTTGAAATATCCTCCATTCTTTTTTGGTGAATTTTAGGTCGTTTTAAGATCAAAACTGATGTTGACTGTACATTCTTGTTACTATTAGTAAAACATCGGCGATTTTGCAGGGCAACAAGTTGCAAATGTGCGATTATTGACACCAGATTAATATATCAACTAGTGGAAGCGAAAAGTTAGAGATGGATAGCGATATTTTATATAATAACATAATTGGAAACTTCGAAACAAAAGCATTTTACTTGACAAACAACAACATTTCACATCACGTGATAGTTGAACACAAAGATAAAGATAAACGTAAAGGGATCAGTATATATGCATGTTATTATCACACGTGAAGGGAACAGTATATATACATATTACTTTACACGTGAAGGGAATAGTATATATACATATTACTTTCACACGTGAAGAGAACAGTATATTCATGTTAGTATCACACGCGAAAAAAACGATAGATGAATATGTTAAGTTGTAATATTACAGGTGAAAGGAAGAGTATATAAACATCGTACATTGTGCATATTTAGTCTGAGAAAGACACACTATATTTCCTTACGGAATGTATTTGGGTACAGGAGGTTACCTCTTTTCTCTTGACCCTAAACAGGTACGCGACACACATTCCGAGGAAAGATAGTTCGTTTATTGCATCAAATTTTCAATTAAGACAAACTTGTGAGTCATTTTCATAAAATGACATCTAATGGGTATCTAGTTACCAGATTATTGCCATATTTCAATGACTTAACGATACCTTAGAAGATTTATGAAGTCTACCTTGACAGACGGTAAACTACTACAATGTACACATATATATATATGTAAACCATTTGTAAGATGAACACGATAACAGACGATTTATATCACTGAATACATTAATAAGAAACGATATGCATACGATCTAATACACTAGGACGTTCTTATGTAGATCAGCTGGCATGCATTGTAGGTAATTATCAATGGAGTGACATTTGATAGGAATGACATTTGATAGGGTTTACAAGAACAGTTTGGTGCTTTCTGTATTAGTATAATTCTTATATATTAAAACAAATCGTAAACATTTAATTAAACTCTCCCATGTTCATTATGTTCTTCCTAACGTACATTTGATATATTTAGTTATATTTATATATATTTAATCTACAAAGTTCTGGATATACAAAGCTGCAGACGTTGATATCAAGGTTAGTTGATAAAGTATAGGCTGAGTTACACATTCCAGACAGATTACATTTGATACAAATGAAAACATATAAATGTTTTGTAAATAATCTAATATAAATCTGTTTACCTGTGTTACATTACTTACCTGTTGGTTTAATGTTGAGATAACGTTTCCGTCTTATCGCTTCTCTGTGTACAGACACTGTGTTTCTGCCAAAATCAATCTACCTGCTATAGCTCTGTTGGGGTCCGGGGTAGAAATGGGGGCTGTCACTTGGTGCCAAGTTCATGCTAAACGAATAGTTTCACGAAACTTGATACTGACTGCATTTGTAGGCTATACGCACCTATATAATTGATAAAACGTAGCTATTCTAACTATAACAATTTTGAACGGCTAGACAGCATGTGATTTTTACTTTTTCACTTAAAAGTTTTATCTGAAAAGTTTGATAACCCCCGTATCATTGCCGATTGGAAAATATTGACCAAAATATTTTGTTCATGTTTAAACTGTCCCCTCGATGGTATTTTTATGAATGCTCCTGCAGTGCTTTCATCATTTTAATCAAAGTTAAATCTAATTAGATATCCGTAAAAATTAAGTACCCATTTCTAAACATAAATCTAGATTTTGTTATAAACTAAGATCATGAACCGATCAAAAAATCAAAGCAAAATTAAATGTTATATTGGTATATGTCATATGAAAGTCCAGTTATATTCACGGTTATATATTGAGTAACAAAATAGGAGGCCTACTATTGTTTTATATTTGACCAGTGTCATGCATGCTTCTGAGAACACGTGTGGGCAGGCGAGTCTGAAAGTCGCATGAACGGGTAGGTGATTTGAATTCGTTATAAATATACTGTTTCCTATCATGTGTCACACACTTATGTTTCTTGATCAGTTCCTTATCTACACACCCCTGCAGATGGGGGATCGGCATTTTTCGGAGGAGGCGACTAATGCGCGTACCGCCTGCAGAATTGGGGATTCCCTTTTGTGTCCTCTATTTGGGGACACAAAAACGACCAAAATAAATCTGCTTCACCCATTGCAATATTTGGAATCTTTATCTTTCTTTCTACTTTTAACTACCTTTTATTTCCTAGCGCCCTGTTTGGCAACATCTCACTTTTGGTCTTAATGTTGAGCGTTCGCCCAGGTGAGGGAGGCAATGGGTTCTGTTCCCAGGTCGGGACATACCAAAGTCCTTAACAATGTTAGTTGTTATTCCCTGCTTAATGTTCAGCATTTAGGGTAATGACAACAACTGGTTCACCCGTTGTCAGTATAATGTGACCGGGCGGAATGCTGTGCTGGGTGCCTTCGGCGTGGTATTTCAGTGAGGCAGCACTATAAAGTCGGCATCAGATCCGCGCTATCACAAGGAGGCAAGCACACCAACATAGCCTTCTCCTGCATACACACACGCAAGCACACATACACTACACACATGGAGACACGTTTCTAAATGACCTTGGCTATTAATAGGACGTTAAACAAAATTAAACCAAACCAAATCCTTATCTACAATACATAAAGCTGCACACGTAAAGCTGCAAGATAAAATGATATATAGCATTGCTCCCTACCAGGTGTGCCCCGGTTCATGTGACTATATTATTTTTGACACGTTTTGAATTAATTGTGTACTTAATTACTGTATCTTTTATCTATGAGTATTGTGTTTTAACACGAGCTTGTCTATGGCATTACCCCTATCATATAATGCATATTTGATCATGTGACTTTGTAAATGGTATACTTTATTAATGAACGTGAAGTCCACTTTGTAGTCAATAGGTAATCAATTGGCTAAATCTTCGTTTTATGTATAATGTTACAGGGTATCTGACCGAGGTGGTGGCATTCCACATGACATTGTTGACAAGGTGTGGAACTACAACTACACCACGGCATACTCTCTAACAGACGATCAGGAACAGACTGGTGGCATATTTGGGGAAGTGATGAGTCCTGCTGGAAGGGCAGGCGAGTCTGTTAGTCGCATGCACGGGTAGGTGATTTGAATTCGTTATAAATATACGGTTTCCTATTGATAATGAACGAAACGACTTATCACGTGAAATGTGTGATTACAGTTCGTTATGCGTTTCATAATATGTAATTATAAAAGCAAATAGTATATTCTAACACAACAGCAGTTTTATACTAAACTATTCATTCGCGAACGGTCTTACAGTATTACATACACAAAGAAATGTATAATCACGAAATATACAAACCGCTTTGAGACGACCTACGAACTAGGTTGTGATAAAGCGGTATATAAGAACCTCTAATTATTATTATTATATTATTAATATAAAATCCACAAATTTTTCAAATGATTTAATTGAAAATACCTTAAAAAAATGTTTCAACCTAATTCGGCTGTTTTGTATTTCTATGTATACTTTAAATTTGTGGGGAAAATTCTTTCGATTTGTTTGAAAAAAATGACCATATTTGTTGAACTTTATAATATGGGAATACATATAAGTTCAGTAAGAAATCATTTAACGAATTATTCTTCTGGAAAAATTGCAATAACGGATGTTTAATATAATATGTGTGTCGTCAGGTACGGGTTCGGATTGCCTACAGCGAGAGCGTACGCTGAGTTCCTGGGAGGGCGTATAACTTTGGAGACGATGCAGGGTATAGGAACAGACGTGTACATCCGTCTCTCACACATCGACTCCATCAGCAGCATCAACAAGCCCAATTTTAGGATATAGATCCTTTCAGCAGCATCAACAAAGTGAATTTTAGGATATAGACCCTGTCAGCAGCATCAACAAGCCCAATTTTAGGATATAGATCCTTTCAGCAGCATCAACAATGTGAATTTTAGGATATAGACCCTGTCAGCATCATCAACAAGCCCAATTGTAGGATATAGATCCTTTCAGCAGCATCAACAAAGTGATTTTTGGATATAGACCCTGTCAGCAGCATCAACAAGCCCAATTTTAGAATATAGATCCTGTCAGCAGCATCAACAACGCCAGTTTTAGGGTATAGACGACCCTGTCAGCAGCATCAACAAAGCCAATTTTAGGGTATAAACCCTGTCAGCAGCATCAACAAAGCCAATTTTAGGGTATAGACCCTGTCAGTAGCATCACCAAGCCCGACTCTATAATGTGATGTAAACCCTTTTAGCAACATCAACAAATCTATTTTAAGGATAAAATGAAGACCCTATCAGCAGCACCAGCAAATAATTGTATTATATAATGTAGACCTAATCAGCTGTGTCCACTAATCTACAACATTGCGATATTACGCAAGCTCCATCAGTCAATAAACAAAACTCTTCAATATGAACAAGATACTAACAGTGAAAATCCCGTGTTAGCGATAAAGAGCACAGTCAATTAACCTTGCTATAAAACAGACTTTAATCAACAATGCCTTTTAACTGTACAAAATAGACTCAATTAGCCAAACTGTACAAAATAGACTCAACCAGCCAAAATGAAACTTTGCGGCGAGTTATAACGCACTCTCCATCCGCTTACAACCGCAATTATTCCATGAAACATGGACCTAGTCAACAAACCGTACCATAAAGTATAGATTCTTTAGTCTTTAATCTTATTTTAATATTATAGAACATAGTCACTAGTTAGCAAAGCTTCAATGGCGCACATCACAAATATAGGTAAATGTCATTAATTTAAGTACTATATAATTTATATTTTGAACTATATCTATATTAGAAACTATGCTTTTCGATCTGCCCTGCCCTGC